CTTCTTGGAAACAGAACTAAACAATTCTTAAGATTCTTAATATTTCATTGCAGGGCTTGGCACACAACGGGACAACGGCTCTCCAGCCGCAGTTCCTGACCCTAGAGGCAGCAGCAGCAGCTGGGACCATGCCAGAGTGGTTGTTAGAACTTCTGTAGGAGGAGCTCGACTGCTGTTTGAGGAAGGTGAAGCCAGGTTTCTCAATTCCCAAGGAGAATACGGTCACTAATTCCACGTTGTAAGGTAGTCCCCAAACTCCACTGTGCATCGGCTCCTTGATGAAAGGCAAGCTTTTAGACACAAACAGCATAATTTTCATTTGGGAGACCTGGAGCAGAAGTGAGGATATATGCCTTTCAGAGTGATGTTCATTCTCTTGTTCTGGGGACTTTTGAGAAGCACGCATCTCAGATGGCGATTTTCAACCTTGGCTCAACCCAGAATTGATTTTAAGAATAGAGAGGACTGTCCTCCACTCCAGAAGAAATAAATCAGAATCTCTTTATGTGACTGTGGGTATGAGGGCCTGTAAAATATCCCAGTTGATTTTAATGAGAAACCAGGTGTAAATTCTTCTGACAATCCTCTTAAAAGAAGTGGTCTTAGCCTGACATGATGGAGTAGTCCTATAATCCCAGCATTGTATGAGGCTGAGCCAGGAGCATTGCAAATTTGAGCTCAAATTTGCAATTTGGGAAAACTTTATGACTTAGTGAGATCCTGTTCTCAGATTAAAATAAAAATTTTTAAAGTGCTAGGCTCAGTGTGAAGGTTCTGGATTCAATCCCCAGCCCCTCCTTACCTCCCAAAAAGAAAAAAAAAAAAAAAAAACATCGATCATTCATCTGGTTTCCCATTAGAATCACCTAGCGGGCTTTAGAAACCTTCATGCCTGAATTTCAAATCCTAGTGGCTCTGTTATAATTGGCTTTAGGTATATCCTGAGCATTGAGATTTTTGAAAGCTCAAATGATTTTAATACGAAGCTAAAGTTAAAAATCACTGCCCTAAAGACACCTTGCAGGTATAAAAATCTCATATTTTCATAAAATCCTATATAAAGGATATATCATTCAAGGAAAATGAATATTCTGGAACTGGTTTATTCTACAGTCCTTATGACAGGTTCCAAGGTTATACTGAATGCATTTCAACAACGAGAGTTGATATCTTTATAATAAATTAGCTAAATTTTGAATTAAAGCCTTATCCTAAATGGTCATAAAATCCATTTACTGTCAAATAAACTCGTTTTGTTTAGAATGTATTTTTTTCTTTGAATAAATTTCCAGGGGGAGAACAAGTAATTTCATTTGTCCTATGTTTAATTTATGTACACATTTTTCCCAGTTACCAGTAATCTCTGTTATAGTAAAATATAGCATAGTAGACAGAGAGACAAGCAAAGGTTTCTGGCCCCAACACTATAAGAGATGTTTTCCTATCTGGCTTGGTTGATGGGTTTAGAAATGTACAGAGCATTCAAGATCTGGGACACAAGTAGAGCAAAAATACACAGAAATGACAGCAGGAGGTCCCTGTTACATCAAAGGACTGCACACCAGTGGGCTGTTGAGTCAGAAAAGCATCCATGAAGCTTTCACAGGCCCCTAATCTGGGGACAATGGGCAAGGAATTCAAGTGATATTCATCAAAGTAATATAACCTTAATAAATATTAATAGTCACATAAAACTTCTTTATACCTGTGGAAAACTGCTTTTGTAGTGCTTATAATAAAGCATAGCATTTCTCCCTTAGCGCTACAAGATCCTACAAACCACTGTGTGATACTGGGCAAGATTCTTATCTTTTATATTTATCTTTCAAGGTTGCTCGGTTGAGTAGATGAGGATAAGTGCAATGCATTTAACCAAGTGCCTGATACATACTAGGAGTTCGTAAATATGAATTCTCTTTATTTTCTGTCTTTTCTGATTTTATTACAGGCTTTATTTTTGATCATCATCATGCTCATCAACAGCCAAAAGCATTGCCTGTTTTCTCTCCCTTCTTTTTTTCTCTTTCTCTCTCCTTCCTCTTCCCTAACGATATCATCAACATTTTTTTTGCACTGATACAACGTCTCCATCAATGGGCTGGGACCTGAGGATACAAGGACAAATAACCTCCCATCCTGCCCTTAGCACACGAAGTCCACTAAGACAGATAAACCCGCAATCATTCTACCTAAAGTGTGAAAGATAGGTACAGAGTCAGCACAGAGAGGGGGCACTAGGTGTGGGACCCCGGTGTTTTGAGGAGCCATCCTAAAAGAGCTCAGTCTTAGGGCTGAGTATGAGTTAGATGCTGTGGCAGGGGGTGGGAAGGAGTTGTAGATGAGGAGAATTCCTGGCAGAGAATAGCAAACATAACAAAGGATAAGTGTGTGCTGCATGAGAAAGCGTGGCATTGATCTGCCTGGGACCTGTTAGCCAGGTGTGAGATGAAGCAGGAGGGGTGGGAAAATCTCAAAAGCTGCTAGGGTTTGAGGAAGTTCAGCTCACAGACCAGTAGCCTGAGACTTACCTGGGATCTTGTTAGAAATACCACTTCTTGCTGAGCGTAGTGGCACATGCCTGCAGTATCAGCACTTTGGGAAGTTGAAGCAGGAGAATCACAAGTTGAAGCCCAGTCTAGGAAAACTTAGGGAATTATGAAGACCCTGTTCCAAATTAAGAGAAAAAAAAAATACCAGGGCTACAGCTCAGTTCAAAGACACTAGGTTAATACCCTGTACCTGCCCCTCAGGCACATAATCAAGGAAATTCAAGTTCTGATGCATTGCCCTAGAACCACTGCATGAAAAACCTGGGGCATGAGGGCTACAAATCTCTGCTTAAATAAGTCTGCAGGTTTTTGTGATGCAGGCTGAACTTGGAGAAACACTGTTTGCTACGGTTTGAATATTCAGGTCCCTCCAAATTCATGTTGAAATAATCTGCAATGCAATCCTCTTAACAGGTGGGACTTTTAGGACTTGCTTGTATGTGAGGGTCTGTGGATGGGATTAAGGTTTCTATAAAAGATGCTTCCCAGAGTTCAGTCCTTTAGTGTGTGAGACCTCAACATTCCAAACACTCTTGGGGTAAGAGACCAGGCCCTCTTCAGAAAGCAAACCTGGTGACACTGTGGATTTTTTTTTTTTAAATAAAAGGAGGAAAACATTAACAGACAGACCACCTTTTACAAAATAGCCAAAGAACAGTACAGACAATACAGAGCTACAAACAAAGTGGTAGGAAATTAACAATGCTTGTTGTATTACATATTGATATCTTCAAAGTGGACACTGAATTTTGGAACTGTGAGAAATAAATTTCTGTTCTTTATAAATTACTTAGACTTGGGCATTTTGTTCATAGGACTGTTTTTGTTAAGACACTGTTTTAAGACAGGGCTGGCTCTACCCCATAATAAAAAAATCTGGCCATTTTCCTAGAGGAACTGGGGAACTAGGAAAGGATTTCCAATAAGGTTAATACCACTTGTTTGCTTCAAAAGCTGCTCTAGAGGTAAGGTAAGAGAGGGATAGGGAGGCTGCTTGGGAGAGCTATGGTTCTTGGAGGTAAGTGTGAGGGGAGATATAGCAAAGAAACTTAATACATTTGGAGTGAGAGTGTACTTTCCTTGCCAAGTGCAGGGTTCATAAAATTTATAAAGTCCGAGACAGAAGGAGGAGTAATGTGAATCTTGCTTGCCAGCTTGCCCGTTTGCAGGGTGTTACTGTTCTCTGCAAGAGCAGCTTTGTGGAGTAATTTGGTTTACCTAAACCAGCGAGGGCAAACCCTTCAGAGCTTTAAGTGATACAAACAGCCGCTGCGGCACATGTGCCATAGGTTCGACACCACTGACTTGGACAGTTCAAATAGAGTCCCTCACTGCTTCTCCTGCGGGGACGGGGATTTGAGTTGAACTGCTATCACAAAGAAATGGTGTAGTATACACAGCAGTGAAAGGGGATGCTTAGTATGGCAGAAGGAACCGCAGAATTTTGATTTCTTTGGTTCCACATATAAATATACGATAGCACCAAGCCTTGTCAACTGGTCATCAGCTTCCGCTTGGAGCAAGAAGGGGTTTTTAACCGTGAGGACCGCGAAAGATATGCTTCCTGTTCGGCTAGGGATAGGAAAGGGCTACACTGGATTCTGCTTTCTGCTAGGTCTTGCTGATTTTCAGCACAGAAGCAGACCTATGGTCCTACCTGCTGGGGAAAAGTGAGCCCGCAGAAGACGCCAGGAGAGGTTGGAGTGTACCTTTAAGAGTGTATTTCCAGAGGTAGGAGGGAAGAGAAGAGGAGATGTTTGGTTGGCTGAGAAAGGAAGAAAAAAAATTTTTTTTTCCCCAAGATATTTGACAGCTATATCTTTCTGCCACCACCCTCCCCGGAACCCACGCATCTCTGCTTAGCGTCTGACATAAAACCAAGAGTGAGCCCCTCTCTGCCTATGTGCTTTCGATGAAAAAAGTCAGTGCGCAGGAAAGGAAACGAGAGCCGCTGAAAATAGGTGCATGACTTGTTGAGCATACAAATCACTTCCCCCCTCGTCTCCGGAGGGAGGGGAAAAATCCCTCTTCTCTTACTCTCTCCTTGCAGCCTGCAATTTGCATTCGGGGGACGAGGCTGGGGTTGGTCCTCGTGCGCTCCGCGCTCCTCGCACCGTCCCCAGGCAAACTTCTCCCCGGCCCCGCCGGGTGCATCTGCGGGGGCGCAGGCCGGGGGCGTTCGGCGGGCTCCGCTGCAGAGCCGGGGACCCCAGACCCCGCGACGCGACGCGGCTGTCTCTTTAAATTCCAGCTGTGCGGCTGGGAAACAGCGCCGCTCGCCGCCCAGGCCGGCTGGCAGGCGAGCTCGCGCTTTCGCTCCGGCTGCGCGC